TAAAAGAGTTCTAAAAAATAATTTAGTGTATCTTAATCACTGCAGTTTACTTTTGAATGCATTTGACTTATTTTTATTAAAAGAATCATACTACATATTATTCAGCCACCTATTTTTCTCCCTTAAAATCCTGCTTATGAAATTAACTTATGTTAAGACATATACCTCTAGTTCTTTTCCACTGTTGAATAATATTCATAGTATGACTCTACCACCATTTATTCATTTCCCTGTTAATAGTTACTTTATTTCATTTTAAAATTTTATTTTATAACTATCAGTATTATTGTAGAAATTTTAGTACGGGTTATCTTGTATGCCTGTTCAAAAATTTATCTAGAATGTATATTTCTAGGGACTGATATTTTTAAGTTATAGACTAAGTACATCTTTAGCTTTATTGAATTATGCCAAATGATTTTTTAAATGGTTACATACAATTTAAATGTAACATTTTTTCTTGGATATTGGTAATATAGTATTCTGTAATTATGTTGACTTTCTTTTTGATCTGTTTTCTTGGGTCTGAAATCTCCCTTTTAATCTCAGTTTTATTGCTTTATCTTGTCTTTAAACTCTTCTCGTATTTAGTCTATATTCTCTATTCCTTTGTACTTTCACATTTGATTTGATCCTTGAAATAACACAAGGGAATAAGTACTATTAGTATTCTCTTTTTGTAGGTAAAGAAATGGACTTCCAAGAAATTATGTCTTGGCCACAGCCTTACACCTAGCAAGTGGAGGATCCACAACTAGCACCCAAGTATTTCGCCTCCAAAACTCTTACTCTTTCCACTATTTCAAGATGGAATATAATTGAGTACTGTATTGTGTAGTACAGCTTCTAAGACTACTTACACTTCTAAACTGAACAGGTATAAATAAACAACACATATTTAACACATGTAACTCAGTGAAAAACCTTCCAAATGAGACAAGACAAGATACCAGGTGAAATTATCCATGATCGATCTATCTTGGAAGTAATCTTGTGATAGTAAGAGGATGAATTCTACTGCTTCTGCTGCCACCTAAAGTGTGTGTGCATGCCTGTGTGCCTGTGGGTGTGCTTGTGTGTGTGTTTTTAACCTACTGATACAAGTGACAAGACTATTGGCACAGGCTTTTGAAATGTAGCAATAAGGAAACAGGATCGAAACAAGGATATGATGTGGGTTTACTTATACCTTGATGGATCTTGGAAGAAGGGCCTTTATTTGGAATCTCTTTCTTTCCTGAACTCTTAGAGAAAGACCAGATCATACAGGGAAAACCTGTGCAGCAATGAATATGGTAGCTAATGGAGCTTTCTTCCTTGTCAGGGGCCTTTTCCAGCACTTGGAAGGACATATTGATGTTTATTTTTTTCCTGGAAAAGATAGTTCTACTGAGTTTTGGAAGAATGGTATATAAAGTGACATAAAATTATTTGTACTGAGAATGTTGTAAACCAGAGATGAAGGAAGGCAGCAAGACTGACTCAAAGAGTAGAATGTGTTTTATATCTGGAATTAGCTGCTCTTATGTCTTAGAGCTATTCTTGGTTGAGTTTTACGTCCTATTTTCAAATATCTTTGTTAAGGAATTTTTTCAAACCTAGGATTATCAAATAACCATTTTCATTGTTTTCTAAAGATTGATCCGTGAGTGATAAATAAATGTTCAGTGGGAAAAAAAATACTGCAAAGTATTCAAATAAGTTTGGATGTCTTTGATTTAACCAAGCCAAACAGTTTCATTTCTGTAGAATTTCCTCAAAGCCATTAATATGCTCATGGCTCTGAATTTGTTAGAAGGATATATATTATAAAGAAGTTCCAAAATTATTTGATCAAGAAGCCCTTATGTTTATAGGTTCCTGTAGTGTACTTTGGGGTAATTTCACTATCTTGTAATCATAAAATGTTAGAACTAGAAGGAGCCTTAGAATAACTCCAGTTTTAAACTCTGATTGTGAAAGGAGAGAACCTAAAATTTAGAGTTTAGGTTATTTTCCCAAGGTCACACAGCTCTTTGGTGCTAAAACCATGACTAGAATCCATATTTTCAGATTCCTGATTTAGTGTTCTTTAAATCTGGTCAAAAATAAATGAAGTCACAAGATAAAGTGACCCTTTGACCAGCCTATTTGCTCACTTCCATGTATATGGTTGTGTCCTTTGCCAGTGAGAATAATGAGACTCAGAATTTTTTCCGGTGAATCTAAAATTGCCCTTTTGATAGCTCAAAAAATCCTCTATAGCCTTATTATATCTCTGATCTTCATGAGAGTTCAAGTGTCTAGGATTATTCTCTATAAATTCTCTATAAAGAGTATGTATCACGTTTCCTTGGATATTTTATCATATTATTTCCACCAGCAAAAAACAAAAACCAGAAAGGCTCCCCTTCCAACATCCTGTTCCAAGATGATGAGGCAGTTTTATGCACTGAGGTTGTGTGGATAGTCACACCCCACAAGCAGAATTTAGAAAGGGCTTGACATTTAGAAATGGAATCACCTTTCTGGCAGGCAATGGAGCCATGTGAATCAGAAACCCTTAAAAGTTCTGTACCCTTTAACTTTGAAGGAAGTAGTAGAAAGTATGTCTCCAGATTTAATTGTATTATTATTATTTCTCGATACACTATTGTAATAATGAAAAACTTGATATACCCTGAATATCTAACAACACAGTTTTGGTTAAATGAATCAAGGTACATTTATAAAATATTATACAGCTAATAAAAATTGTGTTGTAAACTAATTCATGGAAAGATATCTAAAACAGATATCTAAAAGAGATACAGCAAGTATACCAGGCACCGAGTTTTGATGCTCTTTTCCTTCATGGGAGCTGGTCAGGGTCTAGTATGGCCTGAGCCCCCAGTTCAAATGTCTTGAAATGCAAGGAGCCTTTCCTATTCACTCTAGTGTGCCATAAAAATAATTGTTATTTTTTAAACTGTGCCATGTTGTAAAAAATATTCAGAAAACTGATCTAAAACATATTACATGAAAAAAAGATTATGAAATATTACTATAAAATATTATATGTTTTTATAAATAGAAATATACTCAAATGTTTTCTAGAAAATATACCCTGCCTACATCTGGATGATGGGAATACAAGTGATTTTTAGTTTCATGCTTTTGCTCATTTGCATTTCTCTTTTTTTACTATTTCTTTAATAAAAATAATATGAAAGCAATAATAATTTTAATACTTAGCCCTAAGGCCTTAATATGCTTTATCTTGTTTTGGCCCCAAGCAGGCCTATGAAGTAGGTACTGCTATTATTATTTTCATTATATAAATGCTATTTTTAAATTCCAGATTTGAAGCTATTAGAAACTGGACAAGTTGATACAGGCAGAAAGGGAAAAGTGGAAATGAAACATATCTGAAAGGTAGAAATAACAATAACAGAACTAATTGTCTGTGAGAAGCAACTATGTATGCCTCCAGGATACTGAGGATTATAATATTAGTGATCAAAACAGAATCAAGGAAATACAAGATTATATAAAGATTTTAAGGGAACTTAGAGGAATGTTTACTTTTCAAGAAGAAGCAGAGGTTGGCTCTTTACTGGTTGACATTGAGGAGATGACAAAGCTCAGGCGAGAGAGTAAACCTACAGGTGTAGTTTGGACAGTCATCCACAGTGGACCCATAGTTAGAGCTACGCATTTGAATGGACTCTCCTGAGAAGTGACTATACAGAGAAAAGCAGGGCACTAAAAGCTTTAACCTTGGAAACAGAATCCCATGAACTTGACTTCCATGTGTGGAATGCTGATAGAATGGAATTCTGAGTCTTTGTGCATGCATAAATAATGACAATGGATGACATGTTCTAATAGTTTTTTTCATTGTTTTTCCTTAGATCAAAGATTATTTGATGTCTTTTTTTTTTTAAATTTAAGTAGAAAAGACATTTAATAAACTTATAGGTCACATGTTGATTAACTGCACCTTAGAAGATAGGATTGAGTGAAAGATACCCTAATCACGTGAAGAAATGGTCAGGAATTCAGAACCGAATCATGATAAATTCATGGTATACTGCATTCAGGATGATGAAAGGGATCAAGTTAACAAAAATACAAAATGGAAGGTTTCTGACTATGTATAAATATAATGAGCAAAGATGTAAAAGTCTCAGGGTGTCAGAGAACCACAACTTGAAAAGGAATATGCTGTATATATTTATGCTAGTGTACGTATATTTTTATTAGGAAATATATTTTTTAGACAGTAAAAAGACATAAATGTAATAATACCACTGTTAAAATTGGCCAATTTCCTTAATGTGTCATATTTGGCATTAAGAAGACCTATATTAGAAATAAATATATTTCTCTTCAAGTTCCCTCTTTTAAATGAGTTCAAAGTTATTAAATAGAATACAGAGGACAACAAAGAAAAATGACTACATAACTGTAAAATGTATTTCTAAAGACAGGTTAATGAACAGAGTATTATTTTTGGAATCAAAAGATCAAGAGATAATTTAATAAGGATCAAGATCATTAATTTGTGCAAGATTATTGTATAGAGGCTTTTGGCATCTTTACTGCAGGCAGAACAATGAGAAATAAGCTGAAACTATTGATACAAAACAATCCTTCCAAAAGTGTATGTGTGTGTGTGTATATACACACACACACACACACACACACACATATAAACACAGATCACACATACTCTCTCATACACACATATAAGTGTATGTTTGTATAAAGAGCCTGGAAAGGTATACATCAAACTGCTAATAGTTATTTGTATGTGGTACAATTTTACATATTTTTATTTCATGTTTGTATCTTCTAATTTATCTATATTAAACATGAAATATTTGTGCAGTAAGAAAAATATTTTTAAAGTGTTTATAGAAACAAATATGTTGCTTCCTTCTTATCCCTGCCACACTGTCAAACCCAAAACTATAACACTTATTTTTCATAAGATTCTGTATAACAATAATACTGGTACCCTATTTTATCTTTTTCAGATGTTAGTGAAAAATAACCACCTTTCAGACAAGATCATTGTTCTGCCAGGGAAAATTGAAGAAATCTCACTTCCTGAGGCTGTAGATGTGATCATTTCTGAACCAATGGGATACATGCTTTTCAATGAAAGGATGCTGGAGAGTTACCTTCATTCCAAAAAATGGCTTAAAGCAAATGGTGAGTTGGCCAGTCCTAGTTTAAAAATAGGCTAGCTTTTTTGTAAAATTTACCATCTTTTTTCCCCTGCATTTAATTCTTGACAGAAAGGAGGAGAGAGTATTTCTATTACAATGATTCTTTGATTTTCTCATCTTATTTTTCCATAACAAATGAGCTAGTCTCCAACCATAAAGACATTGATGGCAGTGTGCCACAGAGTATGCAATACGGTATAGAAAACTAGTTCAGAGTTATGAATTTTTGTCCCGGTTTTATCACTTTCTTCCTTAGAAACTTGGCCTAGGAACTTGACCTTTTCACTTTGATTTCCTTATCTGTATTATTAAAAATAACATCTAAAGCCCTTTCAAGCTGGCCTTCTATAATGTGATAAACTAGGGTCTATATTTTTTGACACATTCTTTTT